ATTTTCTTTTAGCAGAACAATAAGTCTGAAAATGGAAATATAACTTATGCCTGCTAATAGTGAGTTTTATCTTAAAATTTCGCAGAATTTTATACATTTTTCGTTTCTATCAATGGCACAGAATTTATTAATTTTCTCTTTCAAAACAAAAAACGCCTCTTAAGGGAAACGGTGTTTGCTGTTTAAATACGCTATAATTTAAAAAAAAAATTTTTCCTGACTGCGTGTAATTGTTATTATTATATTCTTTTCCTTCCTGAGTTTCAGTCAAAGTGTCAAGTAAAAATTTTTTATATAGTTTATTTCATTACGCTTCGACGAGACAAAAGCGCATCATCAGATTTTAAAATTTATACAAACTACAAACACCAATTTAAACTTAAAATACATGTTGTACAAAAAGTACAATTTTTAAAGAGTTAAAACATTCATTAGTTCTTGAGGAAAAAACCTTTCTTTTTGAGAGCAAAAAGAGATATTTTTTGCAAAAGAAATAAACTTTTGCAAAAACAATTTTTTTTGCCTCAAGAACTAATGAATGTTTTAACGCTTTATAAATTATCCTTTTCGTACAACATATATTTTAATTGTAAATTGGTGTTTGTAGTTTGTATGAATTTTAAATTATGATGATGGCGCTTTTGTCTCGCCGAAACGTAATGAAATAAACGATATACAAAATTTCTGTTTCACACTTTGACTGGAGCCCAGGAAAGAAAATAATATAATATACGCTATAATATCTTACTTAATGTTTGTTAAAAAGGAATTTCTAAAGCAACTATAGTCTTATCCTGTACATTACTTATGATGGTAGTTTTTGTATCAAATGCGCGTGTTTAAAGTCGATGAAAAACAAAAGAATAACATTCAAATTTTGTCAGCAGTTTTTTACTCAAAGTACATTATTATATTTTGCAATTAAATGTTTACCTTACAACCATTTTCAAGGGAAACACTAATTTAGGAAATATTTTTGTATTGTGCCAAGTCAAGTCAAGTAAAAAGTGTTCGGTTTCAACCATTTCGCACGTTTACGATTTAAATGTGTTTTGTTGTACGAGTACCGAATTTCGAAACTGATATTTTAAGGCATGAGAAGAAATTTTTACTAACTATAGAATAATAAAAGCGTGCACTTATAAAATTAACGCAATTTTCAGATGTGTCCAGTTTTAAAATCGCGAATGATGCAAGCTGGCACATTAATGGTAGGCTACCAGCCAGATGATCGGCGGCCTAACTTTTTCCGGAACATCATTTCTTCAGCGGCTGTTACTGAAAAAGATGTCGATTTCTTGCTGAACGAAATGGACCGGCTTGGACACGACTTGTAAATTGAATCCGCCTCTACAGAGTTTCGCTAGAATTTGTATTCGTCAAGTTATTCCTATACTTTGGTGTCTATTACAGTTTTCTCAACTTCACTTTTTCGCATCTTGAAGGAATACGTAGTATATCAATGTTTATTAATATCTCGTGCCAAAATATAGACAACATCCCACTGAATTTGTGAACAGTGGTCTTTAGTGCGAAATTTATGTACAGGATGTGTTTCTAGCAAACCAACATTACCTACCCATTTACAGTATTTATGATGCGATTGGATATTCAGAAATTTAGGTTATTCAGTTCGATTGATTCAGCTTAGGGCACCAGGATTGCTATCACCTATTACAAACCAAACGGTAGCGAAACGCGAACAAAAATCAACAATTAGCTAGTGGCTAAAAAGGCACATATGAAATATGAAAGGAAAGTAGAACGGGGATATATCGAACATTTAAAAAGTGAGGAACGCTTTCGGATATATTTCATTATTTCTTTACTAAGTTGAGTTTTCGGTTTTACGAAGAGAATACATTCTTCTCAACAGCGCATCGTTAATATTCGGACTGCTGCACGTTAACCAGAAGAATTCTTGGGTAGCTGAAGTGGGAAACTAAACTAGATTAAATGCCTTTTTGAAAAAAACCATTGCTTCTTGTCCGATAAGCAATGCATTTCAAATCCCCGAAAATACATCTTTCTATGAGAATAATGTTTAGGTATTGAAGAACTTTCCGATATTATATGTTTTTCCTTTGACTGCGTATAAAAATTTCGCATATCGATGCAGATTTAAATTAAAGAAATGTATAAAAATACGGCAGCTGCAAAACTCACGACATCGTGACTAATTGATTAATTATTTACAGCTGCATGCTATTTACAAGCAGTTGTGTGCACACTTTACTCAAATACGTAGTATTTAAATATGTAGTATTGGAACAATAAATAAATAGTTACGCCCCAGTATCCATCTTCGGGTACCCTTAAAAATAATTACCCGAAAGCAGTAACCAACGAGTTACAAGGCGAAAACGAAACAGGCCTTTGAGTAAACATTTTCCAAGGACCTGAAGATAAATTTTTAGGCCGCTACGACCTAATTTTTTGCTTAAAATGCGACTATACTTGCACGTACCCCCGGTCTATCATTCAAATACAGTCTGGTCTGATTCTTATACCGTTACTTCGATAATGGCTTATATAAAACATTATTACATATTAAAATAGTTATATGTACTATATTTGCTTAATATTCTATAAAAAAATATAAAATACTTTCCTTTGCAGAGCAAAGTTTTCTATTGTCAATAAGGCAGTCAATTAGTCAATTTCTCTATGTCGGAATATCGGTTAATTAATGAAACTAAAGGCATTAGTCAATTGTTATTATTATCTTAGCGGAATGTATAGTTTATTGATTGAATTAAATTTATTACATGAATTGTTTTTAAACAAGTTGGCAAATTTTATTAATAAATACGGTTTTATGAACCAATAGTATCATATGAAAACATATCAATGTAGGTGGCAGGAAAAGTCTTGAAACATTACTGAAGATTTTTCCATTGCGGCCTGTTTGCAAAATCACACGACGGTCTGAATGGGTCAAACGTTGAAATTTGAGCGTCAGAATTTAAATAAAATAAACGGAATTAAGTACTGAACGTAGATACTCCATATCATGTCTTAGATCACGATATTATAACACTACAATAGATATACATACCATTGATATCGAAATCTAATGAAACCAAAATAGCTTTTAATAAAAATGATGCACTTCAGTATTGGTTAAATAATTTGAAAGGTAATTTTGCATTATCCGACTATAAAAATTACTACTAACCATACAAAAATTCAGTTTTAGAAATTACGTTGTGTAAAAATATAATATCTAGAACTATTATAGATATCTAGATGTGTAGCTGATGCAATAATGTTGTATGATAATTGAAAGAATCTTTATTTAGAATCGTAATCAGAAAACTATATTTTTCTCTATCATTTATTTACTTTTAAATGTATTGTTATTGTTCAATCACACATTGTCTATTACGTTATATACTATCAATACAGTATAATATTTTCGTGTGGTAGAAGTTCGATTATATCATGTATCTACTCAATATGCTATTCTGTGCTCAAAGTTAAGCAAAAGACCGTATAAATCGAGCTTCTACCGATCACCATAAATATGCGTTATCTCTATATTGTAAATATACTCGAACCTATGCACCTATTGTTAACTCAGCACTTGATGTTTGCACTAAACGTTGTAATATAATAATTGCACTTTCACTATTATGAAAAAATGTTATAGACATATTTTTGTTACGAAATTATATATAAATATCCATTATAAAAAAACCCCAAAACAAACTGGGAAGGTATTGTTATTCTCAAAACTGGGAACTGAATCTTGATTAGGCATTCTAACAAAAATATGTCTTTCCTTTGTATATTGATGTTGTTTGCAATATAAATGTACCCGAAAGGAAATATTGCTCTTGTTTGTTGCTACTTAAGCGAATACTTCTAAATTTTGTCTAAAACAAGAATGTTTAAAATATTGTTTAATGCCCGATCAAATAGGTTTAACAATTATTACTGAGAAAACAAAATCGACGAACAAACAAGTGTTATATTCCTCGATCGGTGATAGAATTATTGGTGTTCAATTAGGCACTTATATTTGGTGCAATGCTTATTTATTCTTAGTTTGTGCTGTTTTTGACATTTAATCAGATGTCTTACGTAAATATTTATTTTCTATGATTGAGATTCAATTCATCATGATCTGAAAACATGACTTTGTGTCTTCATTTAAAATTTGGTAATTATCCAGTAGAAAGTATCCACTTAAAATTCTGGTCAACTTTTAGTAAATTATTAATTAACGATTAATAAGCCCCTCATGCTTTTCTGCCAATTTTAAGGCTGCGCTGCTTGCTATCTTGCGGAAAATTTCTTCTTTCGGTTGTTCTTAGCTGCTTACGCCATATTGTTATCGTTGTGATCGATTACACTTTAGACTCTAAGAGAAATGTAAATTTACATATTTTAATGTTACATATTATGTAAAAAGGTATAGAACCGAACGCATAGTCATCCATACCCAAATCCATTACGGCTTAATAGGCATCGAATTTTAATTGGTAAAAGTGGATGTATAAAAGAGTAGAAAAATAAAGTTATAGCTGTCTTTAGCATGTTTTTTCTTGTCTTATGACATTAAAATTTACTGCAAAAAATGATTTTGTTAAATCATTTCTATCAGCATCACGTATTGGGAACTCAAAAGGAGTATAGCTAACACTATAATCCTATATCCTAAATAAATACCTACATCCTGTATTTTATTCAGCTTAAGAAAATATGTAATTTTTATAGAACCAGGAAACATTTCAATTTTAGAAGCTTCGAGCTTTGGAGAGTATTATTAATTATCTAAACATCAGAAAAACATATTTCCTTATCTCCTGTTTTAATTACGATAATACGATTAAATCACACCTTAAATAGCAAAAACTATTTTTCCCTTAATAATATTGTTAAATATCTTGCATAAATTGTCCAGTTGATAAGTAAATATTTTGAAAACAACTGGATTTCAAAAAAATTAGCATACATTCTAATGAACTCGTTATGAAAATCACATTAAATAAAGAACAACAACAATATCGAGACCTTCAGCTAACCTTAGTTAATGTTAGTTGATATTTAAGCAAACATCGTGCGACTTGAACAGCGTATAAGCAATGAAAAGCTTTATAAGATATTCAAAATACAGCGATTTTCCCATTGAAAATTTGCCATATGGGGTGTTTTCGACGGCCACTGATGTAAGTACTACAATATTATGTTTATTTTAACAAAAAATATGATTTTACTGCTCTTTAATATTATTATTATCGTAATGTTATTATAAATCCACTATTGTAAACTCTGTATAGTTGTTAGTGCTTGAATTAATTGGTCGTGCTTGTATTATAAACATAAACTAATCCAAAAAAATCAGTGGATATCAATGATGTGGCTTATAAATCAAACATAAATTTCCTACATTTCTCATTTGAATGAATATATAGAGATTTTATATAATTATAGAGTTATCGTCTTATTAGAGAATAGAAGTTTAGGATCATCTCAGCATCATTTTGTCAATTGACAAATGCATGTTTTGGTCATCATCTTTTAATTTTAATATTACAATTCGCAATTGCTGGCTTGGTTTGGGTCAACAGCCGCCCCATAAAAAAATGTTGAGTTGTATTGTTAGCTTAACATTTTTTGTCGCCACATTTACGAAAAAAGTATTAATTAGGCAAAGATGTGTTAGATTATGTCTGATTTTCTTGCTTATTAAGTGATCCTTGAATTAACAAAAATAGGAGACCGTTTGTTTTTTGCCGTAATAGTCAAAAAAATTGGTTTGTCGATACTGCATTGTTCCTAATTCCTAATCCGCGATTATAGATTTGGTACGCTCTATTTTCCTCCTATATTGCTTAAGACCCGCTTTATTCATCACTTGAAAAAGTTAGTCATATAACGATATATGCATAATTTTTATATAATTCAAACAATTTTTGTGCAAATTGGCTTCCAGACTACCCCCAGAATTGGCGTTGCTATTGGGGATTACATACTGAATCTTTTCGAAGTTGCACATTTATTTGATGGGCCCTACTTAAAAGAAAAAAACCATGTCTTCAAAGAGGTAAAAACGCATTTAACATTTTATAAGCTGCATATACATTTTTTGTGTATTCCAGTCATCCTTAAACAGCTTTATGGCTTTAAGACCTCCAGAATGGAAAGAAGCTCGAGAATATATTCAAAAGTTACTGTCAGAGAATGACCCAACGTTAAAAGACAACAAGGAATTAATTGAAAGGTGCTAGAAATAATATAACA